GAACATCTATTATTTTCAGTTGATACATTCCTCACATACACGAAGAATCACCACATACTACGGTTTCTAACTAAAGCTCTAGAAATTTACTATTGACGCTGGTCACTAATGAGCACATAACTGTCCGAATAGGTTGTAGAGGCTATCGAAATTTCATTGAAATCACGGACCGACAACCATAGCAAAAAACTGCAAGCACTGGATGATTGTCCCATTCTACGATGGGACCTACGGTCTCGCACGAGAATGATTAAATTCTAGACCACTGAGCTAGTGTCCAACAATGTACAAACCTAACCGCAATCAATCCACGTCACCATCTTCAAAGTATCATTTCATTGAGTACTCTCAGTAATTCTAGAGTATCAACTAGATGTATCTACTTGAAACATACAAATTTACATTAAAATATGTACAAAAATTGAAGGAAATAAAACCAATGGATAATAAACTTGTAGTTTCAGTAAAAAATTAAGGATTATTTCAAGACTTCTTATTCATTGTCAATTGATACAATGAAAGTGATCTATCTACAGTACCATTAAACAAGTAAAGACTATGCAGCGAGTAAAAAAACTTTGTAGTAAATTAAAAAAAGAGAATTCCACTACGTAATAAACTGATTGGAAGTGTAAAATATGAAAATGGATGAAAAGGAAGCCGCGTAAGACATTAAACCTGTTCATGCTTATGATCCTTAAACTACTATCATCTTTATTGAATTGTCTTTACTTTTAAACTATTTAATTCATGTTCGTGGAATGTGAAAATCATACATTAAAATCACTATTTCCACACCTTCCATCAGGTCTCCATTAGGTACTTCACAATTATTTCAATTCTATTGTTATTTCATTTACTCCGTTTCCTTTCTTGTTCTCTTCAATTCAATCTTCTGCTCGCAGACATTCCACTTCCCATCACTGATACATACTACCTATATCTGTCAGCATACGCAGTACATATCAAATACTCATATAATATGTCAACGAGTGATGTTTATGTCTCCTAATATTTTAATTGAGATCATTAATTGATCAACGTTAGACAACTATTCAAAACCTGGCAGCACTGAACGGCCGTTTCGTCCTGGTATGCAACTCCTCAGCAGTGCGCATCCCCGATCACGGGCGCGAGACTCAAACTCAGGACCTTTGGTCTCGCGTGAATCATTTAATTGTTTCCAGATTGAATGCTGTAATTAATGGACATGTCATTGAGAACTCTTAAAAAAGGGTTACTTTCACTTGTTTTAGATTAGGTTAATTTGTCTCAAATTTTATTACATTCCGATAACAATCCTCTGAGTAAACTTATTACTTCGGGAAATCTATCAAATCAATACAGCCATTATCCCACCCCTCAACAGACATGTCAACAGTGAAACTACTGTCACCAAAGGTATCAGATGATCGGTACGCTATATCATCACAAATTAGTTGAAATGATATCAAGAAGTTCTAATCATTAGGCGTTTGTCATGAGACTTGAAGGTCCCGGATTCTACCCTTAGTGAGCTTGTGGTCATGTACCGTTGACAAGCCCGTTGTAGGACGAGATATCTGCTTACTGCCGTTTGGTTTACAATAATATCACAAATGAGATCAATCTATGATGAATACACCAAACAAATATGCTGACTAGTATTGAGGATGGTTGGAAAAGAGTTAGGCGCGGCCAAACCAAAACGTAGCATCACTCCTTCAAGTCACTAACTTCTAGTCTGACCCATGTTGGCAGATGCAGACTACTTGGTTGGGGTCAGCGTGACTATCGTAACCAATGGTTCGAGACTCTAGGTGACATGGCTCAGAATCGATCACAATGGCGTAGGTGTTTGTTTTATAAACCTCGAAAACCTTGTTTTTTTTTCTGTGTTGATACATAATGTAATATGTTACTTCATGTGAAATTATATTTATTTACAAAACCTAGTGTTTAAAAGTTGATTAGCAAAAGAAAAAGGTGTAAGAATATAGAATAAATCAATAAATTAGGTGAATCTCAAAATTAGTAACCAAATAATTAAAACAGATAGGAAACACAAAAAAGGGTAACACATGCCTTTCATCATGTATATATATAAATTGATAATTGCTAAAGCATTTACATTTTGTCAACTTTTTTTTAGATAAATCAATGACAAAAATAGAAAATGAAAACCTTTAGGATCAATGAAACGAGATTGAATGTGTTTGTCGAATGCCAAAACAAAACAAAACAAATATGATAGATTTCAAGTATGTTACATAGAATTCATTCTTTACGTTTTTTAACATGATTAGTGATACTTAGAACAATGAAAGAAATTATAGTTGAGAGCTACAAACGATGAGACTATAATTTATGGATGATCTTCGAGTAATCTTTCAGTCAGTCAGTCAAAACATTGAACTTCGTACGTACGTACGTACATCAGTTCGAGTTGCCATACCACATTAACACAGAGATGTAGTTGTCGATTCAAATCCCATAGTGGTAGAAGTAGTAAGAGTATAAGCAGTAATCCGAAACATTAGGGTTTGAAAATGTTATCGAAAGAGTATAATACAGTGAAATTCAGAAGATTAGAATTTGGTAGAACACAAAGAGTGGATGCACTTTCGCCATTGCAAACGATTTTGAGCCACGTCATTCAAGGTCTCTAACCATCGATCGCTATCATCTCGCGAATCCCAACCAGTTAGTCGACACCTACCAACATGGCTCAATCCAAAAGTTAGTGACTTCATGGATTTATGCCACGTCTTGGTCTGGCCAACCCTAGCTTTGTTCCAACCTACTCCTACACCATAAAACATTGCACATCGGGGCAGTCGGTGGTTGGGCATACGTAACACGTGTCCCAGCCATCTCAACTCATGAAGTTTCACTACTTCATCAATCGACTTCCCATCCTTACCTAGTACTTGTTTCCTAACAACTGCATTACTTACCCGGTGGTCCCAGGATATACGATTGATGCTTCGAAGACACCTATGATCGAATACTAGTAGCCTACGAATATCCTCTACTCTTATCGGCCATGTTTCACTACCATAAAGTAGCACGGACTGAACTGCTGCACAGTAAACTCGTTTTTTTTGTTGCTAGACGGACATCTTGCCTACGCCATAAATGACGCAAGTTTGCGAAAGCTAGACGAGCCTTCTGTATCCGTGCTGAGATTTCGTCATACACCAGACCACAAGTGCTGATGAGACTCCCAAGATCTTGAGGATGTCCACCTACTTACTAGGGTTAAATGAGATTTGTAAAATAGTTTGAGGAATTAGGATTAAGATATACAGTTGAACATTAGGGTTAGGAATTAGAATTAGGGTTTTATCATGAACTAATATCAAATATAATTCCAAAATAGTATTTAGTTATGTGAAAAAATGAATTTCGAGTCATAATCTAAGATGTGCTAACTTAAATCTGATTAGTTCGTCCAAAAATTACAGTCTCTCCATAAATATGGATTGTTGTGTGATTAATTCAAAGATAAAGGTGAATAGGTGGTCGATTATCATGTTCCTAGGATGGATTGAATAAATTACTTGAAACATGATATAAAATTGGTAGTATAAGGATTTGAAAAGTCTTCTTACATGATTAAATAATAACAGTGGTTACGTAAGAATAAAGAGGTGAATACTCAAACAATTCAAGTAGAAAGAATAAGATGACAAGTACGAACTGATGAATGACAAGGAAGTTGTAAAATGCTTTAGTCTAGTAAGTGAAATATTGAATGAACGTATAAGGTATGTTGATGTCCAGTGTAATGAAAGTAATTGAGTAAATTTCTTTTAAAAATAGAATGGAATAGTAATTAAAGTACTGGACTTTCTATCGATAATCCAAAGACACCAACTCAACTTCACCCAAATTTAATCTGGACAGATGAATAGTATCACTATCTCACACACAATCAATGTGCCAAAGAGTTGGGAACAAAATTACACTTGTCAAATGTGTTATATTATATATATACAGTAAAAGTACACGTGAATCATGAGCAAAACTAATACGCGGAATATGATAAACACCAATCACGGAAAGGTTTATTTGTGTCAATATTTACCTACATCATTAAAACATCATATTACACTATGAATTGACAGTAGTTGAACGGATTGTAGATGTAAACACGGCTTTATGTACTTTAACTTAGAAAATTCTGATAAGACTATTATGTCTAGTATATCAATTATAATTTACAAACAAGCATATCTAAAGGTCCAAGGAGTTAACCAAACGTTTTTTTCAGTACTATGCTAATAAACTTATGACAGACTTATCAATCTATCTTATAAGTGTAAAAAAGGCACTTTTTAGAGACAGAAGTGTAGAGCACTAATCTTGATCATGCACACTACTGTTAAACCAATACAATACTGAAGCTTTAGGCTGACGTAATATATATAAATGTAATTCTTTCTCTCATTTGGGATTGTTGGACACTGGCAGAATGAATACTGAACTCAGAAATTCATATTTACATCACTTCTATCTTGATTATTGAGTAAATGATATAATTTTTCCCTTGTGTTGTGAAGTTCCTAAATTCATAAATGAAATTTTTCACAATTTGAGTTTTTAAATAAAAGATAGCCAAATATTTATGATAATTTACTGATATGAATTATTTTGTTAAGAATAAGGAGGATCCACCTAAGCGAGTAAGAAAACCCTCATTCTGAATCAAAGATGTGCATGGGCTCCACAATCCTTAAGGGATAAATAGTGTATAAAACTATTGTTGGTCACCAACTACCATGAAACTGCATCTCCTAACGTTACTCCACTACCTTGTGGATTAAACCTCTAGGTCGAAAGCCTGTGGAGTGGCTCCCTAAGAAAATCACCTGTTTCTGTTTTGACACCCGGATAGTATCCGAGCCATTACACAAATCAAACGAAGTGTGAAACATATATATGTTTAGTACCCCCCCCATGCACTAATATTTATGTGTTTAAATAAAAACAGAAGATAACTTACTGATACAACTTACTTTGCTTAGAATAATTTCAGGAGCTAAATATTCTGGTGTACCGCATAGAGTCCATGTTCTACCTTTTACACGTTTAGCAAAACCAAAATCTGTTATCTGTAAACAAAAAATATTAAAATATATATATCCAATTAATTTTATTAAGTGTACAAACCAACAATGTCAAAGATTTAAGTTGTCTTCAAACTATTTCAATTTGGATAATCAATTATTATCAGTGATCTTTACACATTAGGTATGACTTAAAATTAAATACATACACGCGTTGATAGTTGGAAAAAGGAGTAAGATCATGATCAAAATATTTCTGTAACTGTGGTTACTTCTTTTGAGTTAAATCAAATCTTTCTTTCAGTCAATTAAAACGCAACAGTATTCAGAGTATCGTTTTCATTAATTGTTCTATATGATTCTGTTATATCTAGAGTTTAGATTCTTACTATGCCACGTTCTATTAGACTACTTGAACGATCGAACCCGTAACGTCGCAAGAGAGAAGACAGAAGACTAGTAAGTTGGAATGTTATTCCTAAAACAATGTCAAATATAGTACAAAAATCTCATGTTTTTTAGTTTTTGGCTGAAAGTAAATCATCATTTCGGATAGCCAATAGGCACATCGAGGGTCCTTCTTATTCAACCAATAGGAGAGCTACACGTCGACATTTTAGGATGTTCCACTAGCGGTGATTAAATGAAATGTCTTCGGCTCTTTCTGGGCTTCTTGAAGCTTTCTTGAGTTTGCCAACGAGTCATCCTTACAGATTCTAGGGTTTCTAAATCAACAGTTCGACAATTTATTGTTGAATAACTATGGAATTTTTTTCTTTACAGTTCCTCAGTCTATTCTAAAAATCGAACGAGACGTGAAATATCATTGACAAAATAAATTCCATCATATTGAACAAATGGAGATGTTAACGAATACAGACTAACAGTGAAATAACACAGTATGTTACCATTAATATCAATCCATACAAGCAATCATTAGATTTGGAAAACGTCGAAACTCGGGATCTTAGAAAAAATGTTAACTAATGTCTAGAACCATGACATTTAGGTCAATCTCCAATCAATAAACATATCGAGAAAGAATCAGTCAATCAATCAATCCAAAAAGTCAATTACATGGTTGAAAGTCAATTGTAAACAATAATTAACAAAAATCCATAATAGATTAGCATACTAACACATGAAATAACAACCAATTTACAAACAAATTAATCAGGATGTACTATTTAGTGTTTATGCAGAAGCAATTTTAAAATGTTCAATTCTACCAGTCTCACGCCATAGCACTTAACCGATAGACCACTAAGCCGGCATCCAATGGTGTTAATGTCTAACTTCAACTCGCGAGTGTGGGATCGTGGATGCGCACAGCTGAGGATTCCCATAATAGGACGAAACGGCCGTCCAGTGCTTCCATGTTTTCCATGGTGGTCTAGCTTCAATTGACTCATGATTTCAACTATGAAAAAATATTGAAACCTCAACAAAACCCATTCTGATTATACCCAATTCTACTTGAAATATGTTTGTAAAAAAAGAACAAGGCGACACAGAGAGAACAAGAAAGATTAGTACTAGCTAATCTCAGTAATAAAAAAACATACTCAATTCAAAATGCCAACCAATTAATAATCATTTAGAAAATTTTAACTAATTAATCCTCGGGGAAAGAAACATCATCCGACCAACTAATTTATGAATGAATATTAATTATTCGGTTAAAAATAGAGTTGAATTCATGAATCAATCTAAGCGATACCACCATCAAAAACTTAGAAGCACTCGACGCTAGTTTCATTCTAGTATGGAACTCCTAAGTAGTGTGCATCCACGATCTCTACAAAACCTCAAAATCAAAAATAGTCAACAAGTGATATTTCAATTTGACTTACAGAATTCGATCTTCAGTGTGAGTTAAATAAACATGACATTGGCCACTAGTCTACTTAATGATTAATCAATGTGTAAACAAATATTCCCAGTCATAGTAATAATCCTGGTAATCATTGTGATAAGCCGAAATTTTCAAAATTTCAACTAATTTTAGGAAACCTTCAAAAACAATATTCGGACAATCAAATATTTCTTTATGAGATCACAACTTCATTTCCTAGGTTTGTTTCCTTCCTTCTTTTCTTACTGTCAACTACACTTTGTTAGTTGTAACTAGAACTGAAATCCCGTATATATATATATATATATATATATATATATATATATATATATATATATATATATATATATATATATATAGGCATGAATAAATATAGCCTCATACACCCAACGTTTGTTTGATTTACTACATTCGAACGAGAGGCAAATGAAGATAACAGTAGTTCGTAGCATGTAGTGGAAGTATCATTAGTATTTGTTGCCACTTCTATCAATAGAAATCGTCAGATAAAGGTGTATGATAGTATTAGTAGTAATCAAATCGATAAGTATTTACGTTAACTACGTGTTATAGTTTCAAGTCTTTTTATATCAGAGAACCATTAGGAATATTGTACTATGATGTAACCCAATTCGTCAGTCAATTTGCATTAGACAATTACAAACTGAAACATACATATGTACATACAGAGAATACATAAACTACAAACAAACAGAGAGAGAAGAACATCAACAACTACTGACTAGGCAAACTGAAGTGACAGAAAGTCAGAAAACAGTCTGACATTTTTATCCATTACCACCAAACTAATAGTTGTAATGATAATAATAATACAAAAAGCAAGATAACGTAAACGTGAAGTGTAAAAAATAGTCCTTGAGAGAACAAATCAGAGATTTAACTGATATTTTGTTTCTGTAAAATAGAATACTAGAAGGATCAATAATGAAATGTTAGTAAGAATCCTAGGGAAGTGGATCAATATCCAATTAATTCACGTTATCTTTAAGATATGAACCAAAACTTAAATGGATGTTGTGATTTAGTGAGTGGTTAAGTCATTCAATTTTCGACCATCAGGTTGTAGATTGTAAAACCCTGCTTCATCTATTTCCGTTCACGTAGTATAACGCCAGTTCTAATAGAGAAACTGAGAATCGAGTTTGTGAAATTATCAGAATGCCTAGATAATTCCTCGAAAATGTCTTCAAACGCCGAGAGAACGTTAGAAACAGTTCAACTAGTCGGAGTACTTTAGAAACACCTAAGAGATATTTAGGGAATAACTTAATGTGTTGTTAATATCCGATTGAACTATTATTCAGAGTGTTAAAAATTTTGGCTTCCAATAACTTAAGGTCATATATGTTCACGTAAATACCCTTATTTTATGTACATAAACTAATTTCAAACACCCCCCTTCTTGTTTTTTGTGTTCAAGGTTCAAGAATAGAAAACTTTTGAGGATTAGGAAGCGGTTAGAAGGTCGGTTTCTAAACGTGTTCAAGTATAAGACGTATGAAAATAAATTTACGATTGGGAAATGAGTGATAATTTTAAATTTTAGCGGTATAAGGGTATACCTAATCTCAGATAACTCTCAATAGAGATCATGTGTCATATAATTAAATGAAAAAGAAACACTTCCGCGTTATTTATCTACAATGAAACAATAAGGAAGACAACCTTCAGCATCTAAATACTGTATCAAATACATACGGCATAGAAAGAAGTTTTGAATTAATACTCAATTTTGACCTCAAACGAATCATCTGTTATCGATCAAATTCAAGGAGGAAGAAGCAAATTTAGTGGATGAACAAACAGATCTGCACAACAAAACCAATATTCATAAACTTAAGATAAATATGCTCTGTCATACTGTCTCATTGAAACTTTTCTATTGTCTAGTCAATTGGTCCATGCAATTAAACAATAAAGTTTTATAGTTGAAAGCGTGAGTCAATTGAAGCTTGACCGCCAAGGAAAACCTGGAAGCACACAATAGAACAAAACGACCGTCCAGTCTCTCCAAGTTTTCCTTGGTGGTCTAGCTTCGATTGACTAACGCGTTGAACTATGAAAATACTAAATCTCCACAAAACCCCTTCTGATAATAAAGTTTTAATAGATTCAGTAATTTACCCTACCGTGTTTTTAAATGTACAATATAAAAACAGTGCCACTTAATACCTTTAGATACTGATTCCTGATATCTAAGTGACAGGATAAAAAATATAGTATGAAAGTTACCTATAATACTCCTACACCAGTAAAAACAATATCAAGTTTATCAAAAATGGTGCAGTTGCATTGACTAATTCACAATATTATTTATTCAGAAATACATCCATCTCACCTACAAATCAATGTCTAACATTACTACTGCTAACTTATAATAGATACGCCATCAATTCCAAGAGTAGTTTTAATGAGATTTGAACAGTGGCTAACAGTGGAATCCGGTTTGACGTGCATTTTGTCATACTTGGGACCCTTCATTTGAATACACTTGTACCCAAATGATAATGTTCATACCGAGGGTCGAACTCAATACCTTTAAAATCAAACGACCAACAAGTTTCAGACAGAACGAAATGTATGTCCAAGATTCCACTGTTAGCTATTCTATTTAAAATTTACCACTGAATGATATTATAGAGGGGGATTTATACAAAATGCATAAATGTCACAAAGAGACTAATTAAACCTTGACATTAACAATGGCAAGAAACAAACGCCTCCAAGAGTATATTTTTTTTAGAAAATAACCACAAAGCTTAATGTAAAATATTTAATTAATACACATTTGGGGGTTGTTTGTGGAGATTTTTTGTAAATTTTATATATATAGTTGAAATCATGAGTCTATTGAAGCTAGAGACTCCTCCCACAATAGGACGAAACGGCTGTCCAATACTTCCAGGTTTTCCATGGTGGCCTAGCTTCAATTAACTCATGATTTCAACTACATAATTACTAAAATCTCCTCGTGATTTGAAAATAATTTATTTGGTTGATAGTAGTATAAGAATTGGATTATAAAATGACTGTTTATTAAGATATATCGATTGGCTGTGGATTCGAGTCAAATATTGTTGACATGGAATTGATTTTTCTAACATAAAATCCATAAGTTTTTCTTCTTAAAAAAAAACAACACTAGTTTTCAAGAAATGGGTTGGAGAATGTTTTCTACTTAATTCATTTACACTCATATATGACATTAGATTAAAAAATAGTGTATTTTGTAAATAACATACAAATGTACATGATATTAATCACTCTACTTCTACCACTATGAGATTTGAATCGACAACTGTATCTCTGTGCTAATGTGGTATGGCGACTCAAACTGATGTACGTACGTACGAAGTTCTACGTTGTGACTGACTGATATTAATCACATATCTAAAAAGCTATAAATCAGATGTGTTAAGAAGCGAAATCATATCATTATTGTTGGATTAAATATAAGCTTTTTGGAGAAAAAAAGTGTTTACTTTATAATCGGAAATCTTAAATCAATGGTAGTGTAAACATGATAAGCAGAGATGAATGGTGGATAGCTGTAGAATTTAGGACGCGTGACTCGTCCTACTTGAGAATTGTTAGTTGGATATACCTACAACCCAGAGTTGATGATTACTCTAGGACTCGAACCTAGTCCCATTCGCTTAAAACTCCATCGCGATATCCACTAAGCTACTGATTGCAAATAACCACTAACTTGTGGAATTGGGTAAAGTTTAATTCATTTTTTGTATTGGTTGTTTGAATCTTCTGAAAGACGTTTCAAATGTTAGCGTAAATTTTCTTTTTACAAAGTATAGGGAAAATGTAATCAGCTTTGAGCCACATTGTCAACATCTCTAGTGAGTCAGATATTACTCAACTGCAATAAACCAAAGGGTATTACGAGGTTTGAACTGTCAAATTATTCATTGAATATGAGAAGTACTTTAATCACTAAATCACTGTCCCACCAATTAAAATGAAATCGTGTTAGATGCTGTTGTTGTCACTTGACTGTTCAGTGATAGATTAGTTTTTAAAGCTTTATGACTGTTACTTAGCGATAGTATATACCACAATAAAATGATTAACTCTAAACATTAACACAAGTTACAATGAAAACTAAGCCAAAATCAACAATAGATCAGTTGCAAACAATGTACAACTTTGTAAACATTTTCATCAGCTCAAATCACCACATTATATACAATACACAGTGAAGTAATTGATTTAACATGATTGAAAAGTAAAGAGGAGAATAATACTGACTACGACTATTGGCAATACATAAAAAATATGGTTTGAAAACTTCACAGTGACACTAGGCCTAGAAGTACAAGACAGAAGAAAAAACTTAATACTACTTCACTAACACCGTCCATTTTGAGCCATCAAATCTAAGGATTTCAATTGTAATTCATGATTATTGTCCATCTCTTAAAACGAAAGTCAACAAGGCTTTTAACAGTGGTCAATCTCTTCGAAAACGACTATCATAACTAAGCTTGACTGACTTTATCCTTCCCCTTTCTACCTATCCTTATGTTAACCAACATCTCTCATCAGAATAATATGAAAGGAATGACTTTGAATAAAAAATGTTTTGACCACCTCAGACTTTGAAGACTTTAGGTGACATGGCTCAGAATCGATCACAACGGTGTAGGTGTATACACTTTTTATCTTCCCTTGAACCTTGAGATTCAAATTGCTTCATAACTTTTTTCCTTACTATACCATATCCTTATATACAACCTTTCTTTTATATATTAACACCACTAAATTAACTACTTCTATGAATCCGGTGTTCATCTTGTTGTGCTAACGAGGTATGGCAACTTGGATCGATGCATAAATGTGCCTGGTCCTACGTTGTAGCTGACTGACTGACTGACTGACCAATACCAATACAGTTTTAACTGTCTAATTGTGGCATTATTCATTCAAATGGTTTCACTATGGACACAAATAATGTTTCGAAAAGAACGTTAATCAGATACTGAATCTTAAGCAAAGATGGATGATAGCTAGCAGTAGAATCTAGGATGCCTGTCTTGTCCCATTCGGGAATCGTCAGTTGGATATACCTGTTGCTTGTGAGTTGATGTTCACATCAATGAGAAGATCCAAATAGCGAATATAAATACTGAATATCTTCTTTAAGGTTACTGTGGTTGTTATCACTATGTGGTTGTATTGTCCAAACCTGTATATAACATGACAATTCAAACAGATTGTGCTTGTCGATATGACTTGATAGTCTTTTATTTATAAGTATATTTGTACATTGTTTAGTCAAGATATCAACTTAAATATATCTACTGAGAATATGAAAAAATTGATTTGTAAATCCTTTATGTTTTGATATCAAATCCGACAAGGTTCATTACTAGGCTAATTAATTTTTATTAAGAAACAGTTTATTGAAAACATTATGACGAGATTATTAAAAACTTAACAGTGAAATTGTTTACAATAAACCCATCCGTTGTCCATCTTGTTTGTTCGAACATTCTTACGCTCTGCTCTTTTTGCCTGTACCACTTAGCACGTCTCGGTATTCTTTCAATACCACGAGGTCACCAATAAATATACTTTACTTGAACTAATTACAGCCTTCTGGTTTACGAGCTATCAAAGGAACCAAGTCGTTTTCGGGCGCGTTATCTTATTGTAGTGGTGATCATAGTCAATCGAGACTCGATGCCATCTACATGATTCTTCATTCTATATCATAGACATTCATTTATTATCATAATATTTTCCATATATATTCATCATACATTCATTTTTATAAAATATATAAACTTATTTAAAATTAGTTTTCGTCATGGGATTGATTTCAAATAAAAGAAACGAATGAAAACCAAAAAGTAGTATGTAGTTGATTTACTTACTACTTATAACTCATCAGTAGAGCTTATCTTAGACATTCCAAAAGAAGAAAATCAATTTTTTTTTAAAAAAAAAACCTTTCCATTTAAATCACTCTCAATTGTGATTTTAATAATAAAAATCTCCGAATATTTCAACAAAGTGATCATATGAATTTTGAAAAAAAGGATTAGTCAACAACTTTAATTAATGATAAATGTATGTAATCATGAGTCAATTGAAGCTAGACCACCATGGAAAACCTGGAAAAACTGCTTTAAGGCCATTTCGTCCTATTATGGGACTCCTCAACAGTGTGCATTCACGATCCCATACTCGCGAGCTAGATTCGAACTCGGGACCTACCAGTCTTGCTCTAAGGCACTTAACCGATAGACCACTGAGCTGGACGGCATCCAACGGTGTTAATGTCTAACTTCAGCCGTCTAGTCCTTCCAGGTTTTCCATGGTGCTCTAGCTTCAATCGACTTATGATTTCAACTATGAAAATATTGAAATCTCCACAAAACCCCTTAAAAATAAATGTAACCCATTGGATCATGTACAATCTTTTTCTTATGATCAACTTTCAGCCACTCAACTGGCTAAAATTGAAGTGGAATTCAATCATTTCCAATTAAATAGTTGAATATTGAAGTAACAACAACAACAACAACAAAAAGATCAATTGAAAATACCTTTAAATATCCATATTGATCGATAAGAATATTTTCCGGTTTCAAATCTCTGTAGACTAATTCTAAATGATGTAGATATTCAAATGCCAATACCACTTGACTAGCATAGAATCGTGAATGACTCTCACTGTAGACATGGAAAAATTAAAGAAAAATAATTTAAAAAAAATTAAGTTACTGATTATGATCAAAAACAGAATATAATGTTGAGTAATCTAAATAAATAGAAAATACTATTCTTTAAATTTGTGGATGACAGGATTCGATCTCATTGATTGATACCTTGGATTCTAAGTAACCTGTTTTGACATCCATTTTATCTTAGCTACTGATACGTTCATTGTATATTGGTTTGATTTATTTAAAAACATGAAAGGATCATGGATTAATTCACGAAAATAAGCAGAAAATCTAGGTAACATAGTATGAATGAGAATAGATCAAGGAGGGAAACAATCAATCAAACAATAATAGAACAAATTATTGGCAATGAATTAATAAAGTTTGAAATAAACAAAACAATTTAATTATCTGAGAGACCCTTGAAAACTAAAAGCCAGTGAACAGCTATACACACATGATGCCACCAGAGACTGAACCTCATAGTCATTATGTTACAACATGAACTTGTCTCCTAAAATGTTTAAGTTTAACCATCCTAATTTTTTAACTTAAGTCAATTCATGTTAGTTAAGGTATCATAAAGTTAACAAGATAAGAATATAAACTGAAATATCCATGAATATATGGTTTAGTTATTCGTTTGATAATCGTATAAAAGTACCCGCTTATATTCACAAATGAAAAAGACACCAACCATTTTAAAAAAGCAACAACAACAAACTACTTACAAAAACAATCCACAAAGCAATTCTATACAGATACCTATAATATTTCTAATCCATTGTTGAAATTTAACACTTTATAATTTTTTTTAAAAAAACAACTTTTATCAAAACAAATATGATAAGACAGTCATACGTCATGCCCTTTTTTTAGTGAAAATGAATAAAATTTTCTCTATTTCTAGAGAAATCAAGGGAGATAAATTTAAGTATGGATTCGGTGTAATTTGATTTAGATGATAAATTGTATAAGAATAACTGGAACTTTCAACGATTCATTTATAATATCCTCTGTCTGAATCAAAGAACCTATTGAAATGTATTGTTCTTACATGAATAGCATTCTTTAGCCTTTAAATGAAACATCATTTATCACTATATAGTAAACATTAGAGCTTACACAGTGATGAATTTACTTTACATGTTAGTATAGTGTTCCAAAATTGTTCATCATTCGAATAGATATGTAAACTGATTGATACTCTGAATTCACTTAGTATTGTTTGTTTGGATCTTCCCATCGATGTGTTTAGGACTGCAACTGGTCAGTCTCTAATTGGCATATGTGCATACTGTGCGTATTGCCTCGATATACCTTAATTCACAAGCATGGTAAGCAGAGATGGATAGTGGCTAGCAGTGGAATCCAGGACGCGCGTTTCGTCCTATTTGGGACTCTGGGTTCGAGTCCCAGAGTGAACATCAACTCTGAGATGCAGGTACATCCAGCTGACGAGTCCCAAATAGGACGAAACGCGCGTCCTGGATTCCACTGCTAGCCACTATCCATCTCTGCTTACCATTAATTGATACTCTGTTTGTTTATTTCATCATTCAGAGTAGAAGATACTCGTAAGTTACTAGTATTTGACCACAGATGTCTGGGAAATATTGCTCGCATCTGCTAGGATAACCGGGTAAGTAATAGTGAGTGAGGTTAGACACAGGGTATTAAAGAATGATGGTAAGTCAGTTGATGAGATCATGAATCTTCATCGACTGAGATGGTTGGGCCACGTGTTACGTATGCCTGAACACCGATTAGCACGACGCGCAATATTGACTAGTGTAGGGGATGGTTGGAAGAGAGTTCGAGGCGGCCAAACCAAAACATGGCATCAGTGCTTGAAGTCACTAACTTCTAGTCTGAGCTATGTTGGTAGATGCAGACTACTTGGTTGGGGTCCGCGTGACTATCTTAACCAATGCTTGGAGACTCTGTGTAACATGGCTCAGAATCGATCACAATGGTGTAGGTGTAAACACTCTTTATCTTCCCTTAAACCTTGAGATTCAAATTGCTTCATATCCTTATATACAACCTTTCTTTTATATATTAACACCATTAAATTAACTATTTCTATGAATCCGGTGTTCATCTTGTTGTGCTAATGTGTGAGGTATGGCAACTTGGACCGATGCATAAATGTGTATGGTCCTACGTTGTAGCTGACTGACTGACTATGTCATTCACAGGATCTCGTAATGACCACCTGAACAACTATATGTGGGTTAGTTCATATATATTGGTTGTTTGAATCTTCTCATAGTTATTTAGGACTGTAATCGATCTGTCTCTTTTGACATATATGCATCACGTGGGGATTGCCAAGATATTCCTATTAAGTCACTAGCATTTTTAAAGAGATGGACAGTGGCTAGCAATAGAATCCAGAACTGAGTAGCTAAGTGGATAACGCGATATATTTTGAAGTGACTGATACACGGTTCGAGCCTCAGTGTGAACATAAACTCTGAAATCCAGATACGTCCAGTTGTTAAGTCCCAAGAAGGACGAAACGCGTCGCCTGGATTCCATTGTTATCCACTATCCATTTTTGCTTTGAAATCCATCCAGGTTAGCTTATACCTCCGCATATCAGTTCAACCAAAAATTAATGAGAATTCATGGACTACTGCCATATAACACCATTGGTTTTATATATTACACTGTTGTACTTATACTTTAAGCAAAACGAAAACTGATTATTATCAAATAAACAATTAACTGAATAATTTATTAAATCATAGAATGTTATAGGCAATTTTGAAACACTAAGAAATTCGATCACACGACGACGATCTAACGTATATGATTAGTCGAATAAATATGGTGGCAACGCGATATGAAATCTCAAGCCAAAATATATGAAGAAACTTATGTTAATTCATGAAATACTAGGAGCTATGTATAAAGATAAAGCACTAATAAAATAAGCTTTATAAATGAATCAATCATTTCTGTGGGGATTTGGACGCACTGGGACAATCAACCTGTGAATTTAGTAGTGATCGTAAGAGAATTTCTGGTCAATAATTCAATCATTACATTAGATCACCCTACCTACTAATCGGATATAGCCTTCTAAGCTTTTCAATTGCTTTAACAAAACACAACGGTTATAAAGAGACAGTTTCAATAGATAATGGAGACAATAAAACATGAAACAACGATGGGGCAACTGAGATGTTAGAATTTTAAAAACATCTGAAGATGTCTTAAATCATGGACACTGAAATACGTTAAGGGTAATGTATGAATTTGGTGGTATTTTGAAGAGAATAAAACCTATATGCCTTACATTTTCCAGATGATTGACCTCAATTCTCATATTTATTGAACAGAGTAGTATCAGGAACTTGACGTGAGCGAGCAAGATAATGATTGGCTGTTTGCTTAGTCAAACTAGTAGACAATCTGACAAGTACTAGATGAGTTATTTATTCTAATACACTTTCTGTTACTGTAATTGTTGTCGGATTTTGGTGTGGGAATATACTTACGTTCTAGTCTAAGTAGTCACGTGTTCCTGATCTGAGTTTTGTTGGAGTCCAGTTGAATAGACAGAGGGAGGGAATCTAGTGTAGAGATTCGTTAGCGTCCCATTCGTGTAGACAAGGAAAACTGAACGTTATAACAGAACTTTTACAGTATTACAGTAATAAACTAAATAAATAAAATTCAAAATTATGGTTAAAAAACATGCAAAAATAATTTTTATTAGGAAATAGTGTGCACGAAAAAAAACTCAGTAAGCACAAGATAATCGTTTCATCCTATTCTGGTTATTCCCCAGCATTTACACCTATGGCACTAAACAGAATGATTCTAGAAAGAGACAAGTCTTACAAAGAACACAATACTTCTTGTAGTTTGAATAGCGAACTAACCTTGGATAGACCAACACTGAAAACCTGGAAGCACTGGATGGTCGTTTCGTTCTAGTATAGAACTTCACAACAGTACACATCCGTGACCCAGTAACCGAGAATCGAACACGAGACCTTCAATCTCGCGCATAAACGCTAAACTTTTAAATCACTTAAACGACATTCAACGGTTTTCATGTGTAGTTTTGATCAATTAATGATATCGCGTGACCATTTTCCATTGACTGAGGCGGATAAATGTTTCACACTTGACACGGATAGAACTCCACTGATCATGGCTTCTCATTAGGTCTGCATGAGTTACACCTTGAAGCTAGTTACCTATGACCTCACGATTATTCTTAACATAAGAGATTTATGCAAACCGTAGAATTTTCTGTTTAAATCACTCACTGATCTTAGTTAGACCACCACCAAAAGTCTGGAAAAAAAAATTTTTAATCCATTGAATAAGATTTCATAACCTCAGTCAATAAATTGTTTAAATCAAGACAAAACAATTATTTAATGGTTTCTGGGTTTCATATTTTCTACGTTCGACTTCGGTTCTTATGGAGTTCACCACACACTATCTAACTCATATGTATGGAAGACAGTTTACGTTTACATTTTGAAGGGAAAAAAAGATCAAATATACATAAACAAATATATTAAGATAAACAATTCGATTAACGAATAATATAGTGTACATTCATAAACATAGTCTAATAATGGAATGATGATAACCATATCCCTACACACATATTCATATAGAGATGCTTTGCCTACATAAATATATGCTAATAATAGTAACGATGCAGTATTTAATTCACAATTCATATAAAAAGAATATTATATACGCAATATACAATACAAATTTATTGATGAACTTAACATCTATGCTTATATATAGATATATTTAGGTCATCGTATGTGTACATGTATATTGTTGAAATAATAATTATTGAAAAGAGGAAGCGTTTATAATGTTTTTGTAACTAATGTATAAAATCATTGTTGAAAACGTGAGTCAATTGAAACTAGACCACCATGGAAAACCTGGAAACACTGGACGGCCGTTTCGCTTTATTGTGGGACTCCTCGGTAGTGCGCATCCATGATCCTGCCTCGC